ACATCCGAGAGCAGAACCTCAGCTCATGCGGCTCGTCAGATGAGAGCGGTTTGAAATTCAGAGCCGCGGTGCTTCTGGGAATAAGTAGCAGGCCTGTAGGCTGAGGGCTTGGAAAGAAAATCAGTCCTGAATTCAGTCGTGGCTGAGAGCTGCAGGGGCATGGATTCAGGTCATGAGTTATCGGCACAAAATCGAAGCCCGAATTGAAGCACAACGAACACTGTTATTCTATGTAGCATACCTTTTTTCTGTATGCAGCAAGAGGAATGGTTTGGCTTGGAACGGCAGCTGCCGGTAGCTCGCCGGAACTGCCAATTTAATTGGTATGATGTAATGGTTTGGTGGCGACAAACTGAGTTACACTTGATGAGGCATGTGCGAAGGAACTAGAAGTGAAGCAAGCAATATTCGAGCCATGGTTCCCTTTTGAAGACTCCCAAGGACTCGAATAGAACAGAGCAAGTGGCGCACGACGCCCACGTCTCTGGAACTTTGCTGGGTTCCACCGAGGGTTTGGTCACCATGTGCGTGGACTGCGTTCTGCACTCGCCCCTGTTTTGGAGCCTTGGCACTGGCAATAGCTTGATAGATGTTGAGATGTTCCATGTGGTTCGATGGTATGATGTGACACTATGTACGAATGCGTGGATGCATGGAACGTTATGCGCAGACCCGAAGGTGTGGACGGAGTGGACGAAGCACTTCATGAAGTCACTTGATGATCATGCCCGTGAATGACTTGCCGTCAGATTGTAACCTTGCTTTGTCCTCTGAGCACGGCTGCAACATAGTCACATTCGATTGTGGCAAGCACGCGCTTTCACGTCGCACTGCCATGCGCGATCGGTCGACGCTTGTGAGCGGCCGGACTTCAGCACCTCGACTGACGTGACAGGTTGCTGTTCGTTTCTGAACATGCTGCTGGTCTGCGGGGTGTGCTTGCCTTTAGGGAAGTCCATTCGACTCGAGTTGCCAGAGCTGGGTGTCACCGCGTCTTCGCGTGCTTTGCCCCACTGGCATGCCAGATTTCGCCGCGATCAGTCGTCGGGCCTGCCGAAACGTTTGGACCGCGAATGTGGGCCACCTAACACAGGGTAAAGAATCGACCGAAACACACGGTTTCGAACTGTGTTCAAATCGCGCAAAACCGTGTCAAGACCTGTAAAAATTGTACAAGCACATTTTCGCAACGGTTTGGTCTCATTTTTGTACGATAAGAACACGAAACTCATGGTGCACGATTTTGAAAACTGTGTATTTTGGCCTGTTCTTTGCTAGTTTGACAAGCCAACACCCGGCTGAGCGGCTGTCACTCTGGCCGATGGACCATGGGCAGGCGATCATTAAAGGCGCGTGGGTGAATCCTCTGTAACTGCATTCGTCAAAAGACAAAGCAAAAGACCTTGCACCATAAACTGGCGTTGTCGGGCAATTATCCCGCCAACAGACTTTGCTGGAAGCCACAGCGTTTGTTCCCCAACACAGCTGGCCAGCACTAGTGACAGCCAGAAAGTTGAAGTGCAGTCCTTGATATCGTTAACTTAATGTAGCGTTACATTAGCAAACTGCTTGTAATTGAGCTTTGTTCGCAACACCGCATAATGACCACCGTTTCACTGGGTGGATCACTTATGCATTATGGTGTGCGACTTGTATGCACGTCAAGAATATGGTTTCTATGCAAGGCATTCTGAATGTAGAAAAGGAAAAGAAAAATGTGTTTCAGAATTCACAGAATTGTTTCTCATGTGATGGGACTTTTGTGAGCATCAACTTGGTTACTGTGGGAGATGCCATCCGATTTAGAGACAAGTGTTATGTTGAGGTCGCGCTCGCAGCTGAAATATTTCTACATTGCCATTGAGTGTATGGGCACTTTAGTATATGTGTTATAGAGTGGGTTGCATTGTGGCGATGAGTGGGTATCTTTGAAATGTCGTATGGCTGGTTGGTGATGGATGATGGTCCTTGTCACATGAAAAGGAAAGTTCTGTGGGTGCAAAAAAATTGGAACTGTTCGGTTGCGGGGGTCGTTGCCACCGTCGGCAAGGCTCTTAGCTGTGAGAAGGGTGAACAAATATGTAAGCCCTGGGCGTTATGTGTGTGGTGTGGCCTTGCGTCTGGCCGTGTGCCAACGCCGTTGGAGCATCGGCGATCGTGGATTCGCGCTTCCCGTGTGCACTCCAAAGGGAGCCGTTTGAAACGCATCAACGGCTTTTCCTTCAAGAGCTTTACATTAGCAACCTGCTCCCGGACCTAAGGCAGCCCCCCACAAAGGCCACCTTGTGTCTCAAGCTGCCGTGGGTGGAAACTGGACCTGACCATAATTAGTGTTTGCATGATTTGGTCCAATCCCAGTGCGACTCTTACTATTTTTGCACGATTCTCCGAATCTTCACAGGATGCCAACCTGGAATATGACAGCGTGTAAGAGGGCCATAATTTGCCCAATCTCTGGCAACGCGAGTTTTGACACATTCCTTGGTGCACCCCTTGGTATGAAGCTTGAGCAGAGTTATTTGGCCGGCATTCAGGTCGCGCCAGCGAAAGCGACAGCGTTTCCACGGCGTTCGTTGAGAGGCGCCGCCATGGGCTGAGAGTATTCTCAAAGGTGGTGGGTGGGTGGAGGAAACCCATGGCCTCAGAGTTCGCACATATGCGGAATGCAACGCAACTGGCAGAACCTCTTGCTTGATGCGGCGCGTATATTAGGTGCTGGGATGGGTGACGCAAGGGGACATCCAAAAGGAGGGCCGTGACTTGAGGCAGAGTTGTCATGAGCCGCCATGTTCAGGGAAGGCGCGACAGAAACGAAGACCTCAACCCCCTGGGCAGCTTCAGGCCGCCGTGTGAAGCAAAGTGTATGTTAGTATTGTACAACAGGTAGTATTGCCGCTGATTGTTCAATACCGACATATTGTAGCTGACAACTGTGTCAGCACATATGGCGTCGTACATGGCACAACAAAAATTTACTAGGGAAAATGACAAAAGGGGGTCCTCTACGAGATATCTTGACAAAAGGGGGTCCTTTGTGACAAAAGGGGGTCCTCTGCAGGGGTGCATTTGACAAAAGGGGGTCCTCTGACTGCCCCCTGTACATTAGGCGCGTTGCCAGACCGGCGCTAGACCAGCGCCAGACCGACGCCGTACCGGCACCGGTTTGGCGCCAGACCGGACCACGGTCCTACTAGGGGCGACTCCTTTGGGAGGGCGCTGGGAGCGCGCAACGGTCGGAGCTGTGGGAGGAAGTGGTAGCGATCAGAGTGGAGGCTGCAGCGGGGGAGACCAAGCGACGATCGGGGCTTTGGGGAGAGCAAGTGTTCCGATCTGTGCGACTCCCTCCTGGAGCTCCAATCGCCACTAGATCTCCCAGGCAGCTCCGATCACCCCTTGCTTTCACTACAGCTCCAGTCGCCACTTGCTCTCCCTGTAGGCCCAATCGCTACTTGGTCCCCCCCGCTGCGGCCGCAGCTCCGATCGCTACGACTCCCTGCGCCCTCCCAGAGGGGTCGCCCCTAGTAGGACCGTGGTCCGGTCTGGCGCCAAACCGGTGCCGGTACGGCGTCGGTCTGGCGCTGGTCTAGCGCCGGTCTAGCGCCGGTCTGGCAACGCGCCTAATATACAGGGGGCGGTCAGAGGACCCCCTTTTGTCAAATGCACCCCTGCAGAGGACCCCCTTTTGTCACAGAGGGACCCCTTTTGTCAAGATATCTCGCAGAGGACCCCCTTTTGTCATTTTCCCAATTTACTAACTTAACTTGTTGGAGAATGCGTGAAAGATGCGCAGGTTGGTGTGTGGTCATTGGTGAAAGGGGAGACGGTGAAAGGGGGAAGCGAGAAGGTCTGAGTCATGCTGCATTGTGAGTGCATTTTGGGAATTGTTTGGTGGCAGCATCTGTGGCGGCCTGTTCCCTGCGCCCGATTGTCGCACAAACGGACACATGCAGACAAGCGCAACTTCACAATACATACTGTTATTACTGTTGTGAGCGCATACTGCTATATGTGCTGCCTGAAGAGGCGTGGGGAGCAGGATGGCGGTCTCCTTCAGCGCCTTCACTCTGCGAAATTTTCAATGTTAAACAATTTGAATCCAGTTTCCGCTGACAAACGGGCCCCACAGGACTCAACACAGAGGCGGGGATGGGGCATGCCAGATAGTCCAGCGGCCCACCTGAACAAAAGCCACCCCGGCTCTACCAACTTCGTCGGCACGGCCCCCCACGGATCCCATTCGAAAAAGTCAAACTTGGCACCCATGCCAGCACGCCCGGTCTTTTGTCGCTTTGCAAGCTGTCATCGCGCCTTTGCCCACCAGATCCAAAGCTCGAGGTGGTCTCCCAGCGCATCACAATCGCTCACCAGGTCCAGATGCAGTGGTTCCAGTTTGCTGGCATAATGGCCTTGGGACCCTGCGATCTGTCTGTGTGTCCATCCCCTTTTGCCTAAGCATAGCTACACCGCCACCGCCGCTCACAAGAAACTCCCACGGAGGCTGTTCGACTACTCCCCCATGCCGGCACAGGGCCCGAGGCCCGGCTGAAGATGGCGATCGTCTCCTTATTCGATGAACCAGCGCTATTACGCCCTTTAGTTGGTTGCCCACTGCGCTTTGTCATCAATCGGCACTGCACACTAGCAAGGCACCTTCCCATTCCGCGACAGTGTCCTTGTTAAAAACACAGACTCCCTGTCCGTGGGTCTGCTTCCTCATTCCTCCAGCAGCCCGCTGCGCGCCTGTCTACCCGCCCAGTCCAGCCAGCCTACTCCGCACACCAGTCTCGAGCGCTCCTACAGGGCGAAAACTGGCATCCCAAAAAATAGAGCCCAATGTACATAAGACACCCCTGACGAACTAGCTCCCCGCCCGCCCCGCCCCAGCCCTCCACCCTCGTACAGCACCCTTGCTGCGGCGATCGCCAAACACCCATTACACCCCACCAAACCCCGTCCTATTCTTCTCGCGCCAATCACACGACGGGCCACCAAGGCACGGGCTACCGCGGCGTGGGCGACCCCCGCCGCTCCCTCGCTGCCATCGCCGCCAGGTCCAGCATCACGAAGTCCGTGGGCGTCTCGAACATGGACTCCTCCAAATCGCTGCGGCTGAAATCGATGCTGAACTTGGATTCCGTCTCCGAGGCGCCGGTGCCCCCTCCCATCCCGCTGGGCCCGCTGGACCACGACGGCCGCCGGGAGCCGTCGCTGCCCCGCCTGCCCATCGCCTCCATGATCGCGTTCCGCTCCGCAGTGGAGTTGGGCGTGAAGTAGTACGTCGACAGGTCGCTCCTCCAGCTGATCTTGGACTCCCCCATGAGCGACAGCGGCCCCGGCGAGGACGAAAAATCGGTGTCCCCCGCGCGCCCGGTGGCCACGAACACGCCCAGGGGCTCGTCATCGGATGGGTAGGACTGCACGGACTGAAACGACCAGGAGCCCGCGCTTGACGAAGGCGAAGGAGGCGCGGGCCCGGGGTCTTCCCGCGGGCTGCCTGAGGTCGCGGCCTCCTCCCTCCGCGTGGCGGTGTCCCCCTCGGATGTCGACTGACTCGCCGGCGTGATCTCGCTGACCGCCCGCGCTCGAGAAGTCAGCTCTAGGTCGGACCTCGCCTCCCTGGCCCCGCAGCCAGACTTAGACCTCGCCACGCGGCCCCCCCGCCTGCTGGCTCCGTTAGCGCTCCTCGCCCTCCGCTCGGCGCCAAAACCGCCGTGCTTAACCGTGAGCGGCCGGGTCAATCCAGCCGTGGACGCGCTGTTACTGAATCCGCTGAGCCGCAAATTGCGCTGGTAGTTCGGCGGCACGCTGCGCCAGGGCATGGCCCCGGCCGAGATCGGCGCCTTGGAGGCGTCCCACATGCCCGCGCTCTTGCCCCTCCGCACCATAGTCCTGCCGGCGGCATCCGGGCTGGTGGCCTCCAGATTCTGGGGGGTCACCCGCCCGGGCCCCAGCCCGCTGGGCCCGGGGGCCCCGGGCTTCTGCCACAGGGTGTCGGCCCGCAACCGCGGGGGGACTCGGAGGGAGAGGGGCCGGGAGGCCGCCCGTGTCGAGCCGTCAGTCTCGGAGGAGGCGGGTTCTGAGCCGGAAGTGGGGGATCTCCGGAAGGGTATGCGGCGTGTCCAGAAGGAGTTGTTGGCGGCGGCGCGGCGCAGCATGCCGCCCAGGAGCAGATTCTGGGTGGGCACGTCCTGGCTGCCTGGCGCCAGTGCATAATAACAAGCGTTAGGCCGTGTGGGGCAGGTGCAACAGGCAAAGTTCCGGGTAAAGTGCGGGGCAAGCACTGATTGAAGCATTGCCGGGCAAAGTACAGGGCCGGGTGGTGCAGCATGCCGCCCAGAAGCAGGTTCTGGGTGGGCAGGTCCTGGCTGCCTCGCGCCAGCGCATAACCGAACGTTGGGCTACGGCTTCAGGCAAAGCACAGGGCAAGGCACAGGGCAAAACACAGGCAACGTGCAGCCCGAACGGGGCAGCACGCCATTCTGGAGCGGGTTCCGGCGGCGACACATAACAGCAAAGTGTTGGGCTAGCGTGCGTCGGGTTAGCAGGCAACGTAGGGGGCAAAGAACTGGGAAAACAGTGGGCAGGGCACTGGGCAGAGTTCTGGGCAGGGAACGGGGCGTTGCACTGAGCAAAGCTCCGGGCAAAGGACAGGGTAACGCGCTGCGCAAAGCGCGGGGCAAGTGCGTGTTTGTCTACGAGGGGACCGCGGATTGGTGCGGTGTGTCAGGCGTCATTCGCGGACAGCGCGCGCGCGTGAAAGAATGACGGACTCGTCGATCGCGAGCGGGCCGATAGATGCGCATTGGATCGCAACCCGCGTCCGCTTTGCGTGGCGGTGGCCTAGCCGCACTTGGGCCTCCAAACCCCAATTGCGAAGCGCCTGGTGCGCTCTTTGACTAGCCAGAATATCGTCATGCCGCTGGACAAGGCCATGCCTTAGGGCCTCATTGCGAGGCAGGTGACGCTTTCATGGCTCGAGATGCGCAGAAGCATGGCGCAGGATCGCAGCACCGGGGCGCCGGGGACAGGCTGACGCGCGCCACTCGCGTTCGCGATCCACAAGCGGCGGGCGTTCTGCGCTCAAGCAGCGGCCAAGTGGGCTGGGCTCTCGTGCGGTGGCCAGAAAGAACGCAACGCTACAACCAAACGGGCGGAAGGGGGGGGGGGCTGGCTCCCGACTCCTGCCATCATAATCGTTCACTCTTACGCAACAGCGCAATGAGGGTGGCCATCTTCCTGATTCCCCTTCACTCCGATGCTGGGCTTGATTGATTGGTCGGGGGCGCGCAGTTCGCGAGGTTGAGGCGTGCGGCCAGCCCGCCTAGGTGCGGTACAATACGGCACGTGACGGGTCGCAGTCGCAGGAGCGATACTCCCATGGTGATCGCCGGGGGCGAATGGGCGCGACAGGGGGTAGGGACTTTGGTCCAGGGGAGTTGATTCATGGGAAAGAGGCCAGGGACTTTGTGGGTCGATGGGGTCACGAGGTTGGTGCTGAGGGCCGGCGGGTGTGCGGTAAGTACTGAGAAGATGGGGAGGGGGGGGGGCTCTGGAACAGTGGGAGCAGTCCTCCGGCGCTCGCGCACGGAAGGCGACATTTTCAGTCGTGACTCGTGTTCAGACTTTGTCAAATTATTGAAAGCCGTGGGCCACGCGAATGTTAGCCAGGCGACAGAGTTCCAAACAAGAGGACGCAGCGCCACGCACGAAAAGCGGGACGATTCGTGGTCTCGGTCGTCTGTTTCGCGACCAGTTTTGGCCACTGCGTCACGCCCTTGCTTTTCTTCGGTGGCAGGACTGGCTTGACGGGGGGCAGAGGGCGACAGTTCGGCAGAAAACGGTCTCCAAAGATTGGGAAATTGACAGCGCACTGCCAGATGGCCTCGGGGAAGCAGTTGGTTTTGCTGAAATGGACGTGTGCAAAATGGCACCCTGGGCATGAAGGTGCGCACAGCCCCCAAGCACCATATGGAACCTCGAGGTTTGAGAACCCGCGACTCCCACAACAGGTTGGCTGACATCGGCAGCTTGGTGAGAGGAATTGCCTCGTCAAGTGGTGACAAAGGCAATCAATGAAATCGGACACATCAAAGTGCACGCTTTCGTTGGCACATCTGCCGTCCGAATGTGCCAAGCGAATCGTCGAAGGCTGCTAGGGCAAGCCCCTCACCTGTGGACACGATTTCCAGCGCCCGGTTGTTCTCCCCTGCCCTCGAGTCCACGGTCCGCCCGCCCCGCTGCCGCTCACTCGGCGGGCCAGACTCCTCGACGATCCTCATCAGCCCTTGCGACATGGGGTGCCCAAACTCGTTCCCCACCTGCTGCAGGCGCTCGAGGATGCGCCCAAAGGTGGGCCGCTTGGCGTGCTCGTGCTGCCAGCAGTCCTCGATCAGCGATGCCAGGCCCACAGGACAGTGGGATGGCATCGCCGGCCGCTTGCCCTCCACGATGCTGACGATGATCTCGTCGTTCCTGCGGGTGGGGTACGCGCGCTTGCCTGACACGATCTCCCACAGCAGGATGCCAAAGGAGAAGACGTCAAGCGCGGGGGTGAGGAGTCCATCCCTCAGGAGCTCCGGAGGCATGTAGCGTATGCTGCCGCACGTGAATGTCTGCAGGTGCTCCCCGCTGGTGACCACCCGGCTCAGTCCAAAGTCGCCAACCTGCGTGCAATGGCAAGCTCCTTCAGCTCTCACGTCACTCAGAAAGGCGGGGCTACACAGGCGGTGCTTGGACTGGCAATGCGCAACACAAGGGGAATGCTGGCCTGAAGTGTGCCTGAAGCAAGCGGCAGTTCGAGTGCTGGCTGCAAAATTCGTGACAGAAAGCTGAGGGGCAGAAGCATAGACTGGACAAAACAGAGACACAGAACAGAAAATTGCAGCCAACAAACTGGAGCACAGAAAAGAAAACACCCGTCAAAAATGAGAAGCAGCAAGCAAGAGCACAAACAGAAGCCAGAAGCCAGAGCGCAGACGTGACGATCAACACATCATGGCAAAATCGGAGAGTTGAGATTACACACAACCAAGGGAACACGATTGATTCTGTGCTCGTGCACTGCCTCACCTTGCACACAAAGCCCCGCTCGTCAGCGCTCCAGCTCTTCAGCAGCACGTTGCCTCCCTTCAGGTCGCCATGAATGATGAGCTTGGAGTGCAGGTAGGACATCGCGCTCGCGATGTCCATCGCTGTCAGGATCATGTACTTGTGGTTGGGCTTCCTCTTGTGCTCGTCGTGGAAGAACATGCCCTCCTTCATCGCCACGTGCAGCGACCGCCGGTCGCAGAACTCCATGATCATCCAGGTTCTGAACCCGGCATGCGGCCCACCCATGTTCAACTCCATGTTGCTGAAGTCATCGCCAGTGAGCTCCGACATGGTGCCTGTGCCACTCTCGCCCCGTTGGGTACTCGTCCCTGCAGTGTGCGGCGTCATTGCAGTGTGCGGCGTCCTTGCAGTCTGGGGGGTCCTCGCAGTCTGGGGAGTCCTCGCAGAGGGCCGCTGCGGGGCCGGCCGCCTCTTGGTCTGGTACAGGTACGTGCGGATCACATTGGGGTGGTTCACAAACTTGCTGAGCAGTGCCTCCATCGGCTCGTGGCTGCCGTCTGCGGACGTCCCATCGTGGTCGATCACCTTCACGGCCAGGACTATCCCCCTGTAGATCCCCTTGTACACCTTCCCAAAGCCGCCCCGTCCCAGCGGCTCGCCCACCTCAATGTCGTTAATGCCCGCGCCATCCAGGCTTCGCGCGTACATCGTGTTCTCGTCCAGATACTGGATCTCGGCGCTCACCCGCGCGGCCCCCTCCGCCTTCTGCACTGCCCAGTAGTCCAGCCCATCCCGCCGGCCTTCGCTGCTCGGCTCGCACACCACCCCTCTGGCTGTCTCACCCCGAGTGCGCATGCACCACATCGCGCCAAAAAGCAGAGCCAGGATGACAGCCCCCACAAAGCCCAGCACAGCCAGCACCACCAGCTCGACGCCGGCCAGCTTTACATTTTGTCCAGAGCTGTCAAGTGTCTGCGGGCAAGCCCCTGCCTCAGGGCTGCCCAGAAAGCTTTCGACAACCCCCAGCTTGAGGGGTGTTGATTCTGGATCACACACCACAAGGGCGCTGCACAAATTAAGTTCCATACGACCACCACCTTCAAGATCGCCGCTGTAGGTGACCCTTGAGCCCACTGCCGCCCAATGCAGCAGCGTGCCATTTGAAGACGCACCCTGCTCCCAGGCGGCGAGCTGGCCTCTGCCGGTGGTCGATTTCTCTGCCCAGTTTTCCACTTCCCCCTCACAAGCCCGAGCCCAAAAAACTGCCCCAGACAGTTGCACCCCTACTGGCCTGCCCGCTTCATTGTCGAAAACGCCGAGGATTGCCAACCCCGGCTCCCAGTCATCCTGAACTACTACCACATCCTGAAAACCTACAACCGACCCGCTTGTCAAAACGACGCCCTTTGTCAGATTACCGAAGTCCACTACGGCGGGGCCCAAGTCTCCCCGCAGGCCCCTTATCACGACTGAGCCGCCGATTCGCACCTGGCCAGCCCAGGACTCGTTATCGCAGCTCACCAGACCCTCTACTTGCACCAATTCTGGCAAAGGCGATGAATTTAGCTGATTCCATAGCTCACGGCACGTCCGCACGGCTGGGTGCTTGTAGCTAGCCAGGTGTCTGTTGTGCGGCCGTGCTGGTTGAAATGCTGAGCATGCGCAGAGTGCCATCAGCAGCCACAGGGACTTGAGGCAGACATGCATTCCCCCCATGGGAGAGAACGGTCCCCGTCACTCCTCCCTGTTGCCTGCTGAAGAAATGCCCCAGGCCTCAAGGGTCGTGGGTGACAGATCCCTGGCGAGGAGCATGCAAAACACAACTCAATGCTGCTAGCGAGGAATGTCCGGCTACCATCCCAGGCAACAGAAATGCCGTTAGCTGACACAGCAGATTGCGTTTCTGAATTGAAGCCCAGCTTCGCTCGTTTGCTGGGTTCAGGAATTCCAAACACGGCAAACAACGGTGCCAGTGCTGTTTGTGAGTCCAAGCAAATGCCACCACAGGGAGTCAACTCGTGCAGTGTACATACATGCGATGGAAGATCAAGCACCACACACAAGGGTGGCAGATGGGTGTGTGCACAGGACAGTGGACGGCATCGCATGGCCACTCCGCCGCAAAGGCACAGTATGGCAAGGGGGCTCTGAATCAACACCGCAGCCTTTTGCTGATGCTGCAGTATCCACAGTAGTTCCATATTGGGGTTCGGGCTTGACAGTCAAGGAGACCAGGATCTTGGCGGCACCAACTGGATGCCAAGATATGGTGGCACAATGATGGTCCTTCTGGGCCCCGAGGGCCTGAGCCCCCTGTGCTCAACAAGAGCACAGGGTTGGAGGCAGAGGACTATTTTCTATGACTCTTCACTTGTGTCAAGTGCGGAAATCCTTGGACCGCATCCTTCCAGGTTTGGCAAAACTGGTGCCCGCGTGCCTTCAGGGTAGCGAAAGACGATCGACATCCAGTCCAGGGTGGCCTGAACAGGCCTCTAAGAGGAGAAGGAGCAAAACAGGGACAGCAGAGCGCAAGGGAGAGACAGAGGACGGCAGGTCTCGTCGAAAACCCGGCTGAGGCGCTGGCCCCATCGTGACAACTCCAACAGGCACAGAGGCCCGTGCAGGGCACACCCTCCTCCCCGATTGCACACCACAAGGACGCTCGTCCCGCCCGACCGCCCTCCCAAGGCAGCGAGCCCCGCGCGACATCCATCCAACCCACTCCCAAACCATCAAATGGCCAGCAGAACCGAACAATGAACACCAACCCCAGCAAGCCGCCCCTCCAGACAATCCGCACCCGCGACGCGGACTTCGGTTATTTCGGGGTCGCCGCATCGAGCCTCCCGCATCCACCCGCGCCCACCCCTTGGCCAGACCATCTGCCCCCTGCTCCTCCAACCGGGACGCGAAATCCCCACCCCACCCCCACCGAGGTCACCAGCCACACAAAATCACCCCGCCAACCCCGCCCCGGCCAACCCCTGCACCCCAGCCGCCCCTCCAAAACGCCCCCCCATCCACCCAGCCGCCCACCTTCCCCTCCCTGGGCCCCTTCTCCACCCGCCGAGATCCCAAGAACAAGTCACACCACCCGCCCCGGTGTACGCCCCTCCACACACTCACTCGCGACCCTTCCCTCGCCCTCGGACATCCATCCAACGCCTCCCCGCCCGCGGCAAGCGCTCCGGGCCGAAGAAGCTCAGGCGCCCGGACGCCCTTCCGCGGGGGCAGGTCGCGGTCGAGACAGCACAGGCCTGCGGGGGGGGCGGGCGGCCCTTGGGCGCTCGAGGCTTTAGGAACCCAATGGCTCGGCGAACAGGTACTGCGGCCGTACCGCCCAGCCCGACTCTGGGGTTGACGTAAACCAATCGGGTGGGCACCCGCCCCACCAGCGAGGGCCCTCCGCCCCCCCCACCCCCCACCCCGCCTGCTCGCCTCAGCAGCTTCATTGGACGCCCAACGCCACCTCTCGACGACTGGCCCAGGCACTCACGGCGCTCGTCGAGAGGCCGGAGGGGGAGGGGCCCCCCGCCGAAGCGGATTGGCGGATCCTCTTTCCGGAGGTGGGGTGCCCGTCCGCCGGAAAAGGGACCTCCCGACCCTCTCCCGGCCCCGCCACTCCATTGGACGGCCTAAGCTCGGCTCCCGACGACCAGCAAGGGTTCCCTGGCGTTCGTATCGCGTGCAAAGGGGGCGCAGTGCGCCACAGCGGCTGGATAGCGGATCCTTTCTCCAGAGTTTGGGTACTCATCCGCCAGATAAGGGATCCCCCCACCCCCTCATGCCCCGGTCGCTGCATTGGATCCCCAACCGACGACCGGCAAGGCCGCCACGGCGCGTGCATCACGCGCAAAGGTGCCGCAGTGCACCGCAGCCGTTGGATAGCGGATCCTTTCTCCAGAGATCGGCGGACTCCACGCCGAAGGTGGTACCCCGCAGACGGGGCACCTCGCCAGCGTCCAAAGTCGGGAGCCAGCTCAAAGCGCTCGCGGCGGCCAGGGCGTCTGAGACTCCCCGACCCGCCGAAGAGGAATCCACCAATCTGTGTGGCCAGACGCCAACGGGCAACGCGCGGCATTCGCGCTCAGGGCGCTCTGACCCGCGAACCGGCAAACGCTTGTTGCACCGTGGGTGGACCGGATAAAGGGGCAGCCAAGATCGGCACCCTGCGCTTTGAGCCGTGCGCCTTGCGCATGAAAATCAATCTCGGTCGCTCACGCCCGCCCCCGGCGATCTCCGACCTCCGGAGCCGCTCTCAGATCGAATCGCCGGCCGTCGACGACCCCCCGCCGAACCCCCGACGGCGCGCCCGGCCCCAGCACTATCCGCAGGTCCCCAAATCCGCATGCGCGGACGTCAGGCGGCCACGCCGGCAAACCAGCGCCAGGAGGTCGCGTGAGCCGGACGCAGGGCCCCCGCGCACCCAGTGTCAAGATAGCTCTCCTCCGCGCACGCAACGCGCACCCCTGGGCCCCCCACCACGAGATCCCCACCCACCCTCCAGAGCACAAGCCTGCGCGCAAGTGCCCGTAAGAAAGAGCGCCCACTTCAACCGCTTCCCCGCAAAACCAGCTCAAAATTCTCACAGGCGATCTCACCGGGCCACCCACCGCCGTCGCTCGCAGCTCTCGCCTTGTCTTGCGCCCTCTCTTGCTCCACGTCCTCCCGTTCAGGCCCCATCATTCGGCGCCGCCGCGCATGCCAGGGCGCGGCCGCGCCTGCCCCCCCCAGCGGCCGGCGGCGCCGCTGGATGGTCAACGGTAACCCTTTGACACTTTGACCGCCGCCGCCGCCCCGCGTGGGTCCAGCGGATAGGGGTGGGGCGAATCAGGATTGGGGTGGTCAGGGGGGAGGCTGGCAGGACGGCGTGTTGGGCGGGGGGGACTGACGGGCGGCCACTTGTGGATAGGGAGGGGGTGGACATCTGGGTGCCATTGGCGGGGTGGTGCAGTCCAGGCTGCCAGTGAATGAGGGTGGTTCAGAATTGGCGCGTTGCACACACACAGGGCAAACCCAGTTTCCCGCTTCCCCAAGAGCATCTTCATCGGTCGATGCCATTGCACCAGCAGTGCTATCCAGGAGCAGTTCTCATTGGCTGCCGTGCCACCTTACTAAGACCATGTTTTTCGGTCGGTGCTATTGCATCGGCGGAGCTGTCCAGGAACGGCTATCACTGTGTGCCGTGCCACCTTACTAAGGTGGCATTTGCCGAATAGCACTGGTGCTATTGCTCCCCTGCGCACATCCGCAACGGTGTGTGCTATTCCTACGCCGAATAGCATCTCGGCGGCACTACAATGTTCTGCGCGAATAGCACCGGTGCTATTCTGGGGTGCTATTCAGCTCCGAGCAGTGCTATTCGGGGCCAAAATAGTACCGCTCGGTGCCAAATAGCTTCGGGGTTGCTACTGGGGTGCCATTGCTCCCCAACTGTTAACGATGGCTTTTTGACATGCGCTGCTATTTGAATAGCATTATAGCTCCGCCGGGACAATAGCACCCACCGATAAAGATGCTCTAATGACCCATTGCCACCCATTACGTAGGGCCGCGAATGACCGTCGTTTGGGGCACGTACATTGTGAGCATTGAAAAGCAAACCTGAGTTCCTGCTTCCTCGATGGCCCATCAAATGCGCGGGCCTCGGCATTCAGCCCCGCTTCATCACGTTCCCACAGGATCCGATGCCTCTGTGGCTTCACAAGTTCGCTTTTGTGGGGCAGCAACTCAGGCCTCTAACAGAAAATGGTTAGTGTTTTTTTTTTTGGGGGGGGGGGGCAATCAACTCGCGCGACCTCATCTGGTGTGAGCGATTCAGGTGGGTGCCTGTGTGTCGCGCGAAGGGGCGATGGACCGTTGTCAGCCCTCTCCGTTTGATGGGAGTGTGGCCTCTGGCCATCTGGGTGGCGGCAGGCCGGGTGCTCGGGTTCGGGCTTACTAAGCCCTGCGGCCCTTACGGCGCCCTCAATAAGCCCTGCTTAGTGAGGGCAGTTTTGGCGCTGGGTGCCGGCTGCGCCAAACGGCGGTGGGTGCAACGCAGAGGCGAATATAATTGGCCGCCATTCCGCCTTCAAAGGTGAAATTCTTGATGTGGCGTTGGCGAGCAGCACCGTTACAGTTTGCTCACCTGGTTTTACATTTTCCGTGCGGTGTGTCAGGGGTTGAATTACTCCAACCGATGCCGTATTTGACATATATATGGCACATAAATGACGTATCCATATGTTAGGGACTCATCGCTAACAGTCAGTGGGCAGCAACGCTCGGCCCCCGTGCGACAAATAGGAGTGGACTGTTGTTTATCGGAACATCGATTCCGAGGACAGCTAAAATATTATTAGTAGAGCCCCGTGTGGCTGCTTGATGCGCTTGCGTGCCTAACCACAGAGAATCAGCAACAAATTCAAGTTAGGAGACAACTTCATTCGTCGCGTTTTGACCCTGATCGATCCCTGACGAGCTACGAGCGGTTCCAGGGAGATTGAAGCTGTGTTTATGTGCATCCCAGCCTCTCTGCAAGGTAGATGGGGCCAGGCTGTGTTGGACAGCGTAAGTTGCTGCCAGTTCATAGCTTGCAAATGCGGAAGCGCAATTTGGAAGGAGAGTAATTTTAAGAAAACTTCGCCCCCTGGTCAATTGGTATTGAACAACGGCGCCGGGCGCACCGATCTGAATTGCGAGCCGCCAAAAGCGGCTAAATCCTCTTCTCAAGC